TTGATGAATCATCATCACTTCAACCATTATCTGTTATACTACCAAGAACAAAAAGATAAAATGAGAGAATATATTGATACAACTGTTTGAAAATCGATTTTGGAGGAATCTAAAAAGAATGTTGAAGTATATGCAGCCCTTGCAACGTATCATTACAGTGAACAAAAAGAAAATCAGAACATAGCGTTGATTGTAGTGTTCTTCACCGCGAAAGTTATGTAAGAGTAAAATTTGGATCCCATAGACCGTGACAGATGTAACTATAGAAACATCACAGATGTATTAGCAACACTTCTCCCTCTGCTTGTATATCACACTTTTGTGTGAAGCTTTTTTCTTTGCAAACAGTTGTATCAATATATTCTCTCATTTTATCTTTTAGTGAATCTCCACTATCATCATCATCTGGTCTAGTTGAATCGAATACAAATTTACTAACCACTCAACAATCACTCAATGTCTTCTATCTTCCATAGCTCCATCGTTATCTTCTTCTTCATCGACTACCATTGGTAATGATAATAGACAAATTAAACCTATACAACATAGTGATAATGATGTATTTCCTCCACCAAATTCACCAAGTATATGTTCAAGTCCAACAAATTCTTCATGTTCATCATCATCATTAACATTTACACCTATACTCCAGCATCATCAACATCATCATCATCATCATCAACATTTTTGCTTTTACCAGCAAATTTTAATCGTTCAACAGTTATACCATCAATACAATCATCAACTTTAATTATACAATCATCTACAGAAAATATTAGTATAACTACAAATTATTCAAAAATAAAATCAACAAATCAAAATCAATTTCAACGTGATCATTCAATTGATGAATCATCATCACTTCAACCATTATCTGTTATACTACCAAGAACAAAAACTACAACAACGACAACAACCATTTCTCAACAAAAATCGACTAATTCATCATCATCATCTAAATGACAACAATTTTGTGGAACTCACATATATTTTCGAAGAAAATAGTGAGTGTAAGTTTTAAGTTCAAGTTTTCGCGGCTCCCCCCTCCCCTCCTCTCCATTACAGACACTATAGCAACCGAAGCCCTCATTACAGACACCTCCCATTACAGACCTTAGCAATCAACATGTAACATTCATCGACATTGAATGTCGATTCCCTTGGCCCTAGACTGACGGAATGACGACAAAGATGTCCTTATATTTTTAAATAAAAATAAATTCTGTATAATGATGAGTTTAGGACAAATTATTAATATTTGTAACATTCTCTATATTACATACTATACATGTATTCAAATAGTTCACAAAAAATATTAAAAGATGCTAATGTATACGAAAAAATTTATCCTTTAGTTAATTATAACGACTAACATGGTGATTTATGTCAAAGTAATGCCCATTTCTAATACGGACATGCCAATTGTGACACAGACATGATCATTTGAGCCATAAGAATGGTCAAATGTGCCATTGAAATGGTTGATTGTGCCGTGAAAATACTGAATTGAGCCATACAAACGGTCATCTATATAATGAAAATGATCAATTGTGTCAAATATATGGTCCCCTGTACCACCAAAGCGGTACTTTTGTACTATAAAAATGGTCAGCTGTACCACGACTATGGTACTTTGTACCATGAAAATGGTCACTTGTACCATCACTATGGTACTTTGTACCACAACAATGGTGACTTGTACCATGACTATGGTACGTTGTACCACGAAAATGGTCACTTGTACCATGACTACGGTACTTTGTGCCACGAAAATGGTCATTTGTACCAAGTGTTACAGACAGACAGGCAGACAGACAGACAGACAGACAGACAGACAAACAGACGGACAAACAGACACAGGTGAATTACGGTTTCTAGACCCTAGCCTTTCAGTCTAGGGAATATAAAACATGTTAGATTTTCTAGTTTTTTTTTGAAAATTGATTAAGTTATTATTTAAAAAAATTATCAATATCATTATTTGTGATTTCATTAATGTATATCATAGTGTGTAAGATCTGCTATAGATATCATAGATATGTAAAACACACTTATTTGTCAATCAATTCAATGATTATAATAATAAGAATGATAAGTTAAGAAAAACGAATTAGAAAAAAATAAAAAAAATAATGAGAGAACAGTAATAATGAAAACAAAAAATAGGGCGCCCGTCAGAAAACGAAAAATAAAAAATTCTTTATTTTACACCTTCTGTATTGCGTATTAATATAACGAAGCTGAAGAACATATGTGAGTTCCACATTTCAGCCCCAAAGGGGCTGCGCTAACAAGCTTTTTCTTTTCATCTGATGACAATAATAATTCAACAACTGCTCAATGAGAATTTTCTCATCGTGCTTTTTTTTATGTACAAAGTGTGATGTTCATTTTTTTTGTTGCTGTCGAATTTTGATTGGTGTTTTTTTCTTTCGCACGTGCTCACTATTCTATGGCGCTTCCATCCTTTGGTTATTTTCTTCTTTCTTCTGATTTGCACCTTTCCAAAAACAAACAAACAAAGCAAATACTGCTTATCAACTTTTTAAAATAGTAACATGTTATATATATAACAAAACAAAATAAACAAATGCTTTCTTCTTCTTCTTACGTATATAAATACCAATACCACAAACTTGTGTGGTGAATTGAAAAAACAATAAGTAACTTCTTATGTTCTTTTCTTTTCTTGTCTTTGTATGTAGTCTGTAGTTTTTTTCTTTATTTGTGAACCTATATTATACACATACACATATATCGTTTGCTGCTCCATTGAATATATATATATATATACGATGAGCTTTCACTCTTCTTCTTCTTACTATTGAAATATATATATATATATTCACAAAAAAACACATATTGAGAGAAGACTAAATTTAAGAGAATTATAGATAATGACTTTTGATCCAACTAAATATTCACATTGTCGATATAACCCATTGAAAGTTGAATGGATACTTGTTTCACCACAACTATTAAGTCGACCATGGCATGGTTCGTTTAATATTTATACAGAGAATTTGTTTTCTTGATTATAAGCAGTTCTTTTATAACAGGCCAAGTTAAAGAAGATAAAAATGACAATGATGAAGCAATTAATCACAATCAACAATCGACAAATCCTCTTTGTCCTGGTGCTATTCAAGGAAAAACAAATCAACGTAATCCATTCTATGAACATACATATGTTTTTGATAATGATTATCCTGCATTGTTATCTGATATCCATGATGATGAAAATAATAATAATGATGATGATCTTTTTCGATGTCATGTAGTTCGAGGTGTTTGTAAAGATTCCATGACAGATACTTCCAGGACAGTTGCTCCCGGGACACTTGCTTCCCAATGGCACTTGCTCCCCAGAGAAACTTGCTCTCCAGAGACACTTGCTCCCCGGGCACTTGCTCTTCAGCGACACTTGCTTCCTAGCCGTATTTAACAAAACTGTTAATCAGGATGTGAGTGTGGGTGTGAGTGTGTGTGTGTGCGTGCGGGTGTGGATGTGGATGTTGATCATCTGTTAAACAACACCCACACCCCACACCCACACCCCACACCCACACCGACACACCCACACCCTCACTCCCACATCCACACCCTACACTCACACCGACACTCCCCCACCAG